AAGAAAGAAAGAAAGAAAGAAAGAAAGAAAGAAAGAAAGACAGACATCCCTGGACCAATGTGATGAGAAAGAGAATGGGATGAAGTGTCGCACGTCTGTTGTGCCACTGATACCCATATTGACAGGCTTGTTTGAAGAGCCTGGTCATTGAGAGCACTGGGGGCAAGGTATCAACTATGCCTTCAAAGAAATAGCTCAACCCTCAATCCACCTTTAGATGCCTAAGCAAGGCCAAAACCTTGGAGACTTGAGTCTAGCTTAAATCAATTGTCCGTGAGGGAAGCCCAAGTCCCAGTGATACCAGGATTAGTACATAAGCCTTGGATGGGGGGTGTTTCACTGAAAGAGTACCTATGGTGTCTCAGGAAGTGGCATTCCTAGGCATTCTCCTGACTGACTCTTGTATCTTCTAAAGTATACTTTAAATATAGCTCCCCATTTTATGGATTTTGGTTCTACAGTGAGTTACATCATAGCTTTCAGGACTGAAAATTGTGCCTTAATAAAGTAAAAAATAAGTAATCATAAACTTATTTGGCAAGTAAAATATTTCAGCATGAGATTTTTGGTACTGAAGGAGTTGAGAAACTCATTTTGGCCCAACCTCCAATTCTAACAGGGATATATTATGTTTCTAGAGTCCTTTTTCAGAGATTTAGGTCATTATTTCCTATTTTCCAGATTTTAGATTAGGTTCAAAGATCAAAAGGCACTCCTTCCATTCAATAAATATTTATTTATGTTCTACTATGTGCCAGTGTTCTGTGCATTAGAAGCTTAACTTTGTAATCTGTGCTTTGTGTACAAATGCACAAAGACATATTTATGAAGTTATTATCCATATGATTGTCTGTAATAAGAAATAATTGGAAGGGGGCACCTGGGTGGCTCAGTCGTTAAGCGTCTGCCTTCGGCTCAGGTCATGATCCCAGGGTCCTGGGATCGAGACCCCCATCGGGCTCTCTGCTAGGAGGGAAGCCTGTTTCTCCCTCTCCCACTCCCCCTGCTTGTTTCCTGCTCTCGCTCTCTCTGTCAAATAAATAAATAAAATCTTTAAAAAAAAAAAAAGAAATAATTGGAAGCAATCTAAGTATCTATTGTGAAAATTAATGACCGGAAACCTCATTTAGAATGGAGTCTGGGAAGGACGCCTGGCTTGCTCAGTCGAAAGAGTGAGCGACTCTTGATCTTGGGGTTGGGTATAGAGATTACTTAAAAATAAGTAAATAAACTAAAAAAAAAAAAAAAAGAATGGAGTCAGGAAACCCTGAAGGGGGAGCTCTCACACACAAACTCCTGTCACAGCTTACTTCACATTCCTCAGCATGAAGTTCACTTTACTACCCCAGCAAGAGGGTGGAAGATTTTCTCATTGCCCAGCAACAGCCCAGCTAGTGAGAAACTGCCCCAACCCAGCCAATGAGAAATTACCACCACCCTGAACTCTTGCTTTCCTCCAATAGATTTTCTTTCAAAGCAACCCCTCTTAGCTTCCTCATTTTTCTCTATAAAGTCTTTTTTCTCCAGACTTGCCTATGGTTTGCCATAGCTTGTGTGTCCCGAATTGCAATTCTTCTGCTATTTCCCAAATAAACTTAATTTGTTGGTAAAATAACTGGCTTTTTTAAAGGTCAACATTACCAGTAGAAGATTGGGTGGTGGTTCATCCAAACATCAGAACTGTGAGGTCTTTGAAAAGAAGACTTAGATCATTATGTATCAGTATGCAAATATGGCAAAGGAATAAAAAGACCAAAGAAAAGTTGTTAAATAAATTTTATCCCATTTTCACATACACACACATGAGAAAATGGTAAAAATGCATCTGGGAAGGGGCACCTGGGTGGCTCAGTCGTTAGGCATCTGCCTTCGGCTTGGGTCATGATCCCAGGGTCCTGGGATTGAGCCCCGCATCAGGCTCCCTGCTCAGTGGGAAGCGGGCTTCTCCCTCTGCCACCCCCTCCCGCCGCTTGTGTTCACTCTCTCACTGTCTCTCTCTCTGTCACATAAATAAATAAAATCTTAAAAAAAAAAAAATTGCATCTGGGAAGAGGACTAAAGATGGGAAGTTTTGTTCTGTATGCATTAAAAGAAATTCTTAAAGCATAAAGACCAATCTATTTGTATTGATAGTCTCATTAGTAGGGGATTTGAGAAGTGGATTATTCATTTTTTTCAAATCTCATTTTTTAATGATCATGTGCTGCCTTCCTAACAGAAAATAATTTGTAGATCACAAGAGGGGATTAGCTGTTCACACATAGATGAGTAAAATGCATCACTAGTGAAGGTCTTCAACCTACCACTGCTAAAGAGCTTCCTCAGGTCCTTTTCTTTAGCCTGACTTATGGTGGTCCTGGCAATTGGTTCACTTTGACCAGAGATTTAACTGAACTTTCAGAAATTAAAAACAAACAGGAATTATACTAACAACATTCTCTAGAAGTCTGCACCAGACTATGTGGGTTTCAGAATCTTACCAAATCCCTTGCAACGGGGGATGAATTAATCACAAGACTTTTGGAGTAATTATTAGGATCACATGCATCTCTTTGTAATCAAACTCCAGTATTTATATTAATATAAAATGTGTTTACTTGAAACTGAAAGAACATAAGACTTGCAAAGTAGCAAGCCAAAAAAGGAAGTCTAGGTTTCTGGATCTTACTTACTCTGTGTGGCATAAGTAAATGGGTTGGCAAAGAGAGGCAAGAAAATGAGTCAGTATAATTAGTACTTCCAGCAAAATACATAAGACCTAATTGAAACAATTGTTAACAGTAACTTCATGTGGGCTTCCCAGGTAAAATATCAGTTATCAGGTAGGATCTACAATGTCCTTCTTACTCCCCAGAACCAGATGATTATTATATGCAAAAAAAGCAGCTACTGTACCAAAATAAACACTGAAGGTTCCATCCCCAGTGTTATACATTTTAGTTAAAATTCTTTATATGACACCAAAAGCACAAGTAACAAAAGAAAAAAATAGATAAATTGGACTTAAAAATTAAGAATCTTTGTGCTTCAAAGGACACTATCAAGAAAGGGAAGACAACACATGAAATGGCAAAAAAAATCTTGCAAATCAAAAATCTTGATAAAAGATAAACTGGGGGGGCACCTGGGTGGCTCAGTCAGTTAAGCGCCTGCCTTCAGCTCGGGTCATGATTTCAGGGTCCTGGGATCGCGCCGCATGTTTTGTTTTGTTTTGCACCCCATGTTGTTCCTTGCCCTCTGCCTCTCCCCTCCACTTGTTCTGTCTCTCAAATAAATAAAATCTTAAAAAAAAAAAAGATAAACTGTGGTACATCCATACAATAGAATCTTACTCAGCGATGACAAGAAATGAGTTATCAAGCCACAAAAAGATATAGATGAATCTTAAATGCATATTGCTAAGTGAAAACCAGTCTGAAAAGGCTACATACTAACTATACCACTCTAATTATATGAAATTCTGGGAAAGTGGGAAACAGTAAGAAGAGGTTGCCATGGGTTCAGGAGGGGGAGAGGGAGGTTGAATAGGACTTTTTTAGTGTGGTGAAACTTTTCCATATGACACTGTAACAGTAGATACATGACACAATGCATTTGTCAAAACACTGAACTTCATAGCACAGTGACCTTCAATGTATGCAGATTTAAAAACATCATTTAGAAGTGGTGGGGGTGGTTCCTAGGATGAAATGCAGAACAAACAACATAATCTAACATTATAATATTACAACATATTAACAATCTCCCTGAAGGGCATGAGGTTACTAACCTGTCACTTTGGAAATGACATCTGTAAAATTAAAAGAAACTATTCTTGCCCCACCCCGTCCGGGAGCGGCCGGGAGCTGCTTTCCTCCGCCTGCCGAGATGGCGCTCGACCCCGCAGGGCAGCATCTCATACACGTCGAAAAGGATGTTTTGATTCCTAAAATAATGAGAGAAAAAGCCCGAGAGAGATGTTCTGAATGAGTTCAAGATTTTACCAAATGTTGCAAGGACTCTGGAATCCTTATGGTAGTAAAATGCCGGAAAGAAAATTCTGCATTGAAAGAATGTCTAACTGCTCA